TTGTTCTTCATACTGGTTGTTGCTTAACTTACAGGGGATTAGGCTAGTTACTATATGCCGTCAACAATCGTTTAGCGACCCTATCATTATACACTCTCTCNTTGTATGTGTAGCTGGATAAAATAAAATAGTCCAGAATAGTGTACTTACAGGTTTGAGAAGTAGAACATGAAAACGTTTTCGACTGAAAATAAAAAAACATTAGGAAAAAAACGAAATAGAATGTTTGGAAATTTAAACAGTTACGCTGGCGGCTTTGCGTCATGGCTATGAATCTGACATCGAATTTAGTCCAAAATATTAGTAAATTCAGAATTATTAGCTAAAATGTAAATTGCCGTATTTTGTCAGACAACCAAAAATGCCAGTGATCCAAGCGAAGGGTACGCTTTCCTGAAGGTAGCGGCGACGAACGGCGACGATATTTTTCTGAACAGTGAACCTGTATTCGTTACGAAAAGCCCCCTTTTCAACAGGCGTGTTTTATTAATTACTTCATGTCACAAAGTAAATTTATACAGGCAAAATTTTATTCAAGGGACTAGTTTCACGAAATGAACGAGAGTAAAATATAAGTCGGCACAAATATAAGTCATACAACGATGAGTCTGTATTTAAATATAATCCCTCCTGTTATGGTCCTGCAATAAGAGTTGATAATGACTACAGTGAGAAAAGACCGATCTGTAGGGGAGTGAGGCAGGGCTGTGTTTTATCTCCAGACCTCTTCAACAGCGAAATGATTCTATGGAACATAGAGCAGCATGAAGGTGTCAAAGGTGGTCACAACATAAACAATCTAAGATATGCGGATGACACAGTGCTAATTGCTGACTCGGAGGAAAAACTACAAAACATCCTTACAACATTCACAATGGAAAGCGGAAACAAAGGACTCCAACTTTCAAAGAAGACTGAGTGCATGGTAATCTCCAAACAGTCAGACATGCCTGTATGTAATATTTTTTGCAAAGGGAAAGAATAAAACAAGTTTGCACCTTTAAATACTTGGGCTTCACAATAACTCCAGACGCCAGATGCGACACAGAAATAAAGAAGATAATCGCTTTGTCTAAAGACACATTCACCAAGATGAAGCCCATCTTTACCAACAGAAATATAAGAGTCAGCACCAAAATCAACACTCTGAAAGCCTACACATGGTCCATCCTTCTGTACGGATGCGAATGCTGGACGCTAACAAAAGACCTTGAAAGAAGACTTGAAGCAGCAGAAATGTGGTATATCAGAAGAATTATGAGAATATCATAGACTGAAAAGAAGTCAAACGAAGAAGTAATGGAATTGGCCGGGTACAAAAAATCCCTACTCCGAACCATCAGAAAAAGACAACTACAATTTTTTGGGCACATAATCAGAGCTGATGGAATAGAAAAGCAAATTCTGTGTGGAAAGATTAGTGGTGCCAAAAGCAGAGGAAGACAACGCACAAAATACACAGACATTCTGAATAGCTACGCAACGAGGAAAGAATCCCCCAACAATGAACTCATCAGGAGAACTGATAACAGAGAGGAATGGAAGGCCATGATCGCCGATGTCTGCAACAGACCTGGCACATGAAGAAGAAGAAGAAGAAGAAGTTATGGTCCATGTCGGATTATAATGGCATACCTTGATGCAAAACAGTCTATCGTTTCATCCACCGCGAGTCCCTTTATTCAATGTATTGTATTACTCATTACCCATTTCATTTGACACTTTCTCTTTTTCTCTCCCTTCCCCTTTATCTTGTTAGAAGGAGGGTAAATAATTAAGCACTCAAAATCTGCATCATCAAGCTCCAGAAACGAATAAGTCAACGAACCAGTGGGCTGATCCACAACATCCGGCACGGCAGAATGAATCAAATAACAGCTAGCACAGATTTATATGCAGATACCTATAGTGTCACTACATACATAATCAGCTGCACACGCGAAGCTGTTGAACAAAAGGATAGTTCGCTCCGGGAGACCGTTTGTTTACATCAGTACTCTAAGGGGGCGTGGCTACCCAGGCGACCAGGGGATTAGGCTAGTTACTATATGCCGTCAACAATCGTATAGCGACCCTATCATTATCACACTCCCTCTATTGTATTTTCCACCGCATTAATCGCAGTGTAATCTTCAAATGGCACACGGGGTAAATATACACATTCTTAATACTAGGACGGTATATAGAGCACATAATACCATGCATTTGTGGATGACTGATAATACTGGTAAATCAAGGGGCAACCACGCTCACTTTATAGAATTAAAATCTAAGCATTATTGGTGAATTTGAATTAATGACTTTTTTCTTTCACCTAACCCAAATTTCTAGAGGGCGTATTTTGACTAATATTTTCACATCCCATGGGTAAACAAATTTTCAAAAAAAAAAAAAAAAAAACAAAAAAACATGACATATGACCTTTTCTGACATTTGAAGCATTGTCAATGACCCTTGACTAATTGTCATGTATTTGTGACCTACACAATTAATTGTCCTATCCCTTACATCTTTAATTATATATAATCCATTGATATATTGATGTAGTAACCACTTTCTTTCCCCTACCCCCACTTTTAAATAGGGGGTATTTTGACTGTTGGGTTCACGTTTAATTGCATAATATTCTGAAATAAGATACTTGAGGTTCCAAATTTTCTTCATAGGCTTTTTATTATAGCATTGTCCCAAACCATTCACCAAATACCAAAAAATATTTATATAAACAATGTTTTTAAAAACGTTTTGATTCTAATTTTTTGAGAAACCCAAATGTAAACTCTTGTTACCTCTGACCCATTATGAGTGACCCTTGACTTATTGTCACAAATCTTTGTTTTATGGAATTTAATGTCCCATTCCTTGCGTTCAAAACGATATATGATGCATTGATATATCTGTATCGTTCTGATATAGTAAGCGGTTTCTTTCCCATACCACCATCTAAAAAAAAAAAAAAAAAAAAAAAATGCTGGTGGGGTTGGGTTATATAAGTACAGTACCTGTAGGCCTTGCCTGTGCCATATACTGTACACATGGATCTATTGATAATGAACGCCAGACGGACTCTCACTTTTTTAAAAGCCTAGTGACTACTTACTTTGCGTCAATGTTTTTTTATTTATTTTTATTTATTTATTTTTTTTTTACAACAACCTTAATTCCCTTATGTCCACAATATGCTATATTTGATCAATTTGCTAGCATTATCATACATAAACTGTTATAATAAGAGAAGCACTATGATCAATTCTTATGAAATTTGTGGGATAAAGGCCCCAAAGGTAAAAGCTTTTTGTACAGTCATTTATTTGATTTGTCACCTGGTTTTGAAACAGCCGAGAAAAAAAAAAATTGAGAACCCACAACCAGTCCCCTGTCAACCAATCTAGATACACCTATATACAATATATTTTAGTATAAGGCACAATGTTATCTTAACATTTGGCTTGCACATATTGAAGCAATAATGCATAATGTCTACCAGCATAATCACCATCAATTTGAATATCATGATGTCAAGATGTCGAGGACATGCTTTAGGATACAAAATGAAATATCCCTAGAAAAAAGCACAATGTTGACACATTTTTATTTTTAGTCACCAACTTCACCTGTTGTAGAATATGAAAAAAAAAACTCACATAGATGACACACTAATATTTTAACTCACCAACTTAACTTGCCATTCATGTTGTATGTGCGCTTCTGTCTGTTTGCTCTAGACACTAGTATACCAATTTGTGATGTACATGCATGACGGCATTTTGAACATTTTACGGTTGGGTGGTGGTGGAAGACAAACAGAAATAGACTTACCCAAACGAAAATACACCAGATTGTTGCAGAGTGTAACTGAACTCATTTTCCCCTTGTTGCCACTCGTCAGTCAAATCTATGGCTGTGACATAATACTGATGAGGAGCCACGTTCAAAAAGTAACTGCAGCCTAAAGTTAAAGATAAAGGAGAATTATCGAGTGTGTTATTGTAACGTCAAATCTTAGGACTCTCCTTTGACCAAACTGTACTCGGCAACGTCAAAATCATGTGAGTGATCCGTGAGCATCAGTGAATTGTACTTACCAGAGTAACACCGCCAATAACCAAAATCCCCAGGAGAACCTAAAAGTTGTCCTACATTAGCCTGCGTGCAGGGGTATTCACAAGGACCATTATCTAATCTCCAGGCAGATCTCCAAGCACAGGTCACTTAAATCAAAGGAAACTACTCAGATTAGTTATAAAGACATTAGTACCAACATTTGCAGAGTCGATTTTATTTCTAGAACTGTCTACGTCGAATGGGATGGTGTACCGAAAATGAGACATGGACACCAACTTATAACTTGGCAATAATATTTTTACCAGCTGAGGGAAGTTTAAGCGTTGTCAGAATGTATGGACGCGTAATGGTTTAGAGAATAGCGAAGAAGCAATTTATTTTCAATTTTCTGCTACTGGTTGACAGGACACACAAAACAACAGCGCAAAACATGCATGGGGTGTTGTGGCTACTATGGTGTAGGCCAGCTGGCAGTGGTCAACAGGAACCTTAACACAGATCCATGCATCCAAGTACTGGAAAGGGATTTAAGGAAATCTGTTGACAATATCTTTGGGAACCAAGACTACTTATTGATGCTTCATTATGACAATGTTACTCCACGCACAGTCGATGCAACAGTAGGCTGTTCATATGCAAGCCAGATCCAGACCCACAATGGCCGATCAACGCAAGCCCTAGATGAGAACCCCATTAGGAATGTGTAGGATATCCTTGGAAATTATTTCTTAAACTATATTTGCATCGTATGTGGAATGCCATCACTGCGCAAAGGTAACATTGTTTTTGTCTCCACGAACAGACGCTTGCCCATCGTATCTTCAGTGATCATTACATGTTTAAAGAAACCCACAATTCATCAGGCCAAAATGAGTTTTATTAACAACTGACTAATTCCTGAAAACAAAAACGTCCAACCTACCAACTAAAGCGTTATCCGGAGCGGGCCTACAGCTGATTGTGGCATATCTGAAGTGCGACCCTGAAATGGTATAGCTATTTTTGTCTCCTCATTAACTCAAGCGAAAAGATAAGTAAAATGAAAACAAAATAACTGTCTCTTTAATTGAAAAATCCCTCTGGTAGAAGAATAATGTAAAGTTATTATACAACATTAGATACTATTGAGTAAATTAAAATCACGTAATTTTACAGCATAAATATATAATAGATAATATATAATTTTGTAATAGAAATGGAAAATCATGGATGACGCTCTGATTTTTTTAGTTAAACAATACACACAGACCGTTAGAGTGATTAAAAGCGTGTTATAAAATCAAATTGAATGTACAAATGTGGATATCTGTCACCAGAGGACCCAATATGTAGTTTTTCTAACATTAGATAATTGGCAGTCTCGAAACATGATTCTTTTGGCTTGTTGAATACTGATTATATATATATATATATATATATGACTAATTCCTGAGATATATATATACGTAAATATAAGTAGACCTATGCCTACAAAGCAAATGCTTTCCCTATGTTATTCACTGGTGGTGTAAAAAGCGAGATTAATTGGCCAATTCTCAATAATAACAATAACAAACAATAATTCCTCAACATTTTTTAAATTAATTTTTGTGTTTGGTGAAGTAAATAGTTTTGGTAAATTGTCTCGGAGGAGGCATAGATAACCTTTGCTATATCAAAGTTCTTTTCCCTTTGTTTGCCATGAATCATGGGTATACATACCGGTTACTGGACTGTCGAACAGAAACAATGCGATGATGTAGAATTGCAGTGACCACATCGTAGATGAAATCAATTCTGCAACACAAAAAAGAACAGAGTTGTAGTAATTCATAAATCTAGATTAACAGTTAGAATCGCTCTTAAAAAAAAAATAATTATAATATTTGATGATTGAATGATGATTTTATTTATATGCAGCATATAAGAATGTTTAAATCATTTTAAAATATAGCCATAATTTTATAATCGCAGAGACCAAGGGGAATTAAGACAAAATTATTACTGTGGATTGGTCTGCGGTTTTACCACCTGTAAATTGATACCTGCATAAAATACAAATAAACCGTCAACTAGTATTGATTTTCAAGCTGTGTGTTTCCATTAGTCGCTGTTGTCATTGTAAAAATGACGGTCATCTTTCAGGTCAGGGTATACTATAGAAGAGTACAGTGTACGTGGTGTTTCTTATTGTCATAAAAGTTCATTTCTGATATTGCTTGGATGTAACGTCACAATCAGTTGGTTTAAGATTGATTTTTAAAGAGAAATTCGAATTGTTTTTGACAACACTTGTAAACAAATGCATGATTTCCCCATCCATTTATTAAACTTCATTATGGAAAAGTACATGTGTTTATATAAATGCGCACAATGTGACAGCAGCATATAAACATACATGTAGATTGTAGCATTTGAGTTATCCTATAACGTTTTCGAGAATCAAGAGGGTGTAAAAAGATATCCCAGCAGATATCCTGTTGAACTTACACAAGCGTGTCAGAGGCAGCAGGCAAAAAATTACATTTTTAAGTCAACGGTTTTACTCCACTGCATTTTTACAAGCGCTTTGGCTTAACCAGTCAAGTTTGTACCCATAGAAATCCACAGGGTGACTAGGTAGTCTTCAATGTTTTCAATGGATGAACTAGCATGAGACAACTTTAGGAACATCCCCACGAATAAATAAATAAATAAATAAATAAATAAATAAATAAATAAATAAATAAAAGTATAAACAATATTGGAACAGTCATCTGCAGAGTCAGTGGAAAAAGGAGGTAAAAAGAAAAGGAGGTAAAAAGAAAAAGTTTGTGATCGAAGGATAACTTTCGACAGAAAGTTTAAAAAGCTATAAAGTAAACACCAAAGGGATAAACAGAATGAAATAAGTCGACTCTGCTTTGAAAGTCAACAGAATTATTGCGAATTCTGGAAACAAATAGGAAAGTTGGATATAAAGAGCCAGAGGCGCAACAGGGTACCCTGGGAAGTTGTTGATGACAAATAAATAATAACTGACAAAAGGCAAGTGCTTGCTAGAAGGCAAAGAGACTACCAGAAATTCTTTGATAATGTTTCACCCGACAGTTTCGATGATTAATTCTTAATTTCGGTTATCACGCTTATGCTCAAAAATTAAGCAACACCAAAGTTTTTTTCAAAGGATTCTTCTATTACGACAAATAGTGCAGTTGGTATTGAGATTATGCGTATTTTTTTTATATTTAATAAATACCTAAGTCAAGCTGAGTAGTCTGGTAATGAAATGCGCACCACAGTTTATTGCAATAAGATGTATGCTTACACAGCAAAACGAACGTGCTCATTAAAGTAGCTTATACGGAGGACCTGTTTAAGGACCCTAGCTCTCCAAATGAAATCTGGGATCGGCCAAAAGAGTATACTTTTTCAAAAGCAGTGGGAAATAACATATAAGCAGACACTTGGCTTCAACATTTTCGGTCTTTGTTAGAAATAGCTAAGCACCCTATTGATCCCGTGTTCAAAAATGAAGCTAAACAGCTTATTGATAATCTGGAAACATTTGAAAATGAAGACATTGATAATTTAGAAGATGAAAAATAAAAAAAAATAAAGAAATAATTGCTGCAATGAGGTAAATGAAAAATAATAAATCGGGAGGACCTGATGGCTTAGTGGTCGAGATGTTTAAAAATAGTGACATGCTTTTCCCCTGTTTATGTTCATTATATAACCAAGTTATGCAAACTGGGTCTTCCCGGCAAAATGGGGAGAGGCTATTATATGCCCAATCTATAAAGAAGGTAACAAAAAAGATCCAAATAATTACAGAGGTATTTCTCTATTAAACGTAGTGGAGAAAATATTAACAAAAGTCCTTAATGAAAGCTTAGTGAAATTGGCAGAAGATACAAGTAAGTTTTGTGAAGAACAAAGTGGGTTTAGGAAAGGCTATAGTATAATAGATAATTGCTTCACATTGTAAGCCCTAATACAGAAGCATCTTACAAAAACAGAGAGGAAGATGCTACTGTATTTTCATTGACTTTGCTAAAGCCTTTGATTGCGTTGACCATACATTATTAATATATGTTTTATTGAAAAACTAGGTTAATACAAAGATAGTCAAAGTCATCCAATCTATGTATAAACAATTGAAGTCAAGTATACAGATGAAAGATGGTATATCTGATTATTTTGATTGTACCATAGGCACCAAACAAGGCTGCGTGTCAAGTCCATTTATGTTTTCTCTATTTCTTAATGAATTTGTTCATATGTTAAGAAATGATGAAAGCTGCAAAGTCCTTTTTCGTAAATGAAGATGCACCTAGCATCTCACATTTTCTCTTTGCGGATGATGCAGTAGAGATAAGTGACACGGTTGGTAGCTTGCAAAAGCTTATGGTAAAATTAGAAAAATTCTGAAAAAAATATGGCATGATGATCAACGAAGATAAAACAAAAATCATCGTATTCAGACGAGGTGGTTATTTAAATAAACATGAAAAATGGTTCCTAAATAATAAGGAGGTAGAAATTGTTAGCCACTATAAGTACTTAGGGCTGGTATGCTCTGCTTTCTAGTCCTGGAGCAAAGCTAAAAGTACCCTAGCACAGCAAGAAGAGAAAACCATGATTATCCTGATATAATAATAATAATAATAATAATAATAATAATAATAATAATAATAATAATAATAATAATTTATTGAGCACTAAAATGTTTCAGTACATTTTGCAGAGCTTGCTATAATATGTTGCGTACACTACATGAACATGGAAGGACTCACTGGGTGACTAAAGTAAAACAAATAATTTATATGTATGGTTTTGGTTATGCATGGATAGCACATGTGTTTATATCGTGATATAAATACCTTTGTAAGCCAATTTTACTAAACCTGAAGGACTGTGCTAGACAAAATTGGGTTGAAAGTATACAAAATAGTCCAAACTTTTTTTAAAACTATGCATTGTTTAAGAGTTTGTTAGAACCTAAATTGTTTATTTGATGTAAATATTATGAAACACAGAATAGCATTTTCAAGATTCAGAGCTTCAAATCATAGACTTGCAATAGAAACCAGTAGACATGAAAATTTACAAAAAATAGATAGGTTGTGTAAATATTGCTTAGAGAAAATTATTTACGAAATTAAAGATAAGAAGCATTTTACTAGTTTGTCCCCGTTATGTGCCCTGAGTGTCAGAGTCACTGTGAATCGGTCTTCAACAGTGACTCTAAAGAACAGCAACCGTGTACAATTTCCCTCAATCAAAAAGAACTGCTCCGCAGAGAATCTGCAGTTGAATGTTATTAGACCAAATTGAACCGTAAAACAGATTTAATTCTGCTTTATTTAATTTTATTTGCTGTTTTTAAGATGTAAAGTGAACAATAAATAATGTTTCTAAAAGAAAAAAATATATAGCCATTTTTTTTTCTTTTTTTTTTTTTTTTGTACTTTTTGCTTACCAAAAAAAAATATTTGATAAAAAATATTTGATAAAAACAATACACGTGCTTGCCGTGTGCCAAGTTTGACAGCTACACCAGTGTATGCCTGATACCACTATAAGGGCTACGCAATGGCTAGACCAAAATCAGTTTTTGAAGCAGAATGTTGCTTGTGTTGTGGTTCTGACTGCAAGATATTCTTAGTTTAAAACTTCAAACTCCGCATCAGCCACTTTACTTCTTGTCTCGTCTGCACGAGATAACGTCAGCGCAAGGCGGGGATGCAGCTCCAGGCGGCACATGGCCGTGACGTACAAAAATTGTGACTTCCAAATATGGAAGCGCCCCAGGAAGAATTTCCCCGTACAACGCCTCCAAGTTGACGGTATTCACTAGAGTCAGTTGATGTATTTGCTATGGGCCGGTGGCCTTTATCAATTGAGTAAAGCATAGGATCCTAAAAAAATAAGATTTACGATTCAATCAATTAAGAATTGGTTTAAATAAAAAAAGACTGTAGATAACAGATGATTAATCTTCTATTATGGAGTCAATATCGGGTGTGTCCTCCCTGGTTCTGAACAACAGCTTCACGTCGTCTCCTGCAACTTGCAACCCAATTATGTAAATCTTGCATTGGGAGCCGGTCCCATTCTTCAATCACAGCCTGCTGTAGTTCTCTAATGTTTCTCACTGGAGGTTGTCTCTCATTTACTGCTCTGCCAATCATAAACCAAGCATGTTCTATTACATTGACATCTGGTGAATATGCCATCCAATCCATAACGGAGATGCCATGCTGTTGCAGCGCGTCTTCTATGACCCGTGTTTTGTGAATGGGCGCTTTGACCTGCACCAAAATGCTGGATTTGTTAGAATGTATGGTTGTATGCGCCTCAACAGAATTTCGTCCCCATATCGTTGACCGGTGAACCTCCCTTAAATGACGTACAGTGGCAATTTTTCTTCATAAGAGAAACCGCCCCAGACCATGACGTATCCTCTACCACCCTGAACACCTTAACCTTAACTGTCATTCAAATAGACGGACATTTTAATGCTTTTAATGGGTATGAAACGTTTATATTTATTATGCCAAACGACCAAATACAATTTTATACAGCAACACAAGTACACACAATGTTGTGGAAAAGAAGCAAAGTTAACAACAAAGTGTGTTTGAAAAGTTTTATATATAATGTCCTTTTTATGAGTTTAATTGATAAGTGTACTTTTAAAAAAATATATGGATTTTAAATGTAGTACCACAGGTTCTAGTCTCTCATAACCCTTGGTAAGGTGGGTTTTATTTTATTTTATTGTATTTTATTTTATTTTATTTTATTAACAA